CACACACACACACACACACACACACACACACACACACACACACACACACACTGGTGTTTGCTTTGGGATCGGGCCTGTCATCGGGTCCTCAGGGCCAAGAGCGGGATGGATAAGGAGTCTGCATCCTCAGGAAAGGGTTAAAGGAGAGAACATGCTCCTCCACCCCTCAAGACCTTGATATTAGAAACACACGCCCACACACCATTGTCCTCCACAAATGAAGACGTCTTAAGCAGTCAGGAAAGAGCTGGCACCAAGGGGCTGGGCTTAGAGACCCTCAGAAGAGGAAGCACCTATGACTAATCTAGAGGTTCTCACACTTCTAGTCACAGGATACTTTTATGCACTTAAAAATTATTGAGGACTCCAAAAGGCTTTTGTTTAATGAGTTTCACATACTGTATTGATATTTGCCATGTTAGAAAGTAAAGCTGAGGAATTTAGAAATATTTATTAATTTTAAAATAACCATAAACAAAGAATTGAGTACCACATGCTCTCACTCATAAGTGGACCTTGAGAAATTATTCTAAAACTATAAGAAAGGGATTGGCAAGTAGTGGGAATCTGCCAGGGGAGGTGGGGCACACCTTGCCAACAAGGGTACCTGCGTAATGAACATTTGTATATCTAGTCCTGAGTTGTACCCCACATCTTTAAAATAATAAAAAAAAAAAAATCCGTTCAGCCAACAAAAACAAAAACCAAAAAATCATAATAGCCAGGTGCAGGCAGTGGCTCATGCCTGCAATCCCAGTACTTTGGAAGGTGGAGGCAAGAGGATTGCCTGAGCCCAGAGGTTCGAGACCAACCTGGGCAACATGGTGAGACCTTGTCTCTACAATAAATCAAAAGATTACTGGGTGTGGTGGCACACATCTTGGTTCCGTCTTGGAAACTACTTGGAAGGCTGAGGTGGAAGGATTGCCTGAGCTCAGCAGGTTGAGGCTGTGGTGGCCATGAGTGTGCTACTGTACTCCAGCCTGGGTGATGGAATGAGACTTCGACTCAGAAATAAATAACAACCATCATAAATCTCTTACAAGATAACATGACATTTCTATTTATTTATTTATTATTTATTTATTTTTTGAGTTGGAGTCTCTCTCTGTCACCCAGACTGGAGTGCAGTGGCCGTTCCCAGCCACCGTAGCCTTGACCTGCTGGGCTCCGGCGATCCTTCCGCCTCAGCCTTCCAAGTAGCTGGAACTAC